ATTGTGAAATGTCCCCATTGCGCCCCTGGCCTGTGTCAGTGAGTCTTTGTCCTCATCCTGTCCCCTTGCACACAGCTTTGATCACTCCATTTGTCTGGAGAATATTCTCACAAAGATGGGGAGGCCAGCTGCTTCCCTGATTTACAGCCATCTTGTCGACATTCAGAGATTTCATAGGCTGGGAAGATGGCACAGTGGGTAAAGTGCGTGCCGCCAACACTAGTGACCTGGGCTTGATCCCTAGAATCCTGTGGTAGAAGGAGAGACCAACTCCTCCAGTTTTCCTCTGACCTTCACCTCTGTGCTGTTACAAAGCTGACATGAACTCACACACACACACACAACACTAACACACACATACACAGTTGCACACTCACACATGTTGTCACTCACACAAACTCTAACTCACTCATTCGAGATAGAGCTGAAGCCACTGGCTCAGCGACACTCAGCTAAGGAGATCTTGGTCTGGGATTCCCATGGACTCTGAAGCCAGTGCTCAGGTCCAGGCAGCAGCATCTCATCATCATGTGGCCAATGGAACTTGGGGTGTTGTGTCACATCCAAAGAGGTGCGGAGGGACCTGCATTTAAACCTTTCCTTTGCTGGGCAGGGGTCTTTTTATGTTAGGGAACCGATGATGCCGTGTGTGGCCTCAGGATGGAGGTTAGCATGGGAGCAGGGATGTTGGGACCAAACACCAAATATCAGAAATGCAAGAAGGACATGAGAGGGGACACAGGACAGGCAGCTGGGACTATAGTGGAATTAGGGCTGTCCTGCAGCAGACAGGTGTCTAGACCCTCTCTTCCACTTGGGAGATCTGTTACTAAATGTGAGAAACTCACATGGGGCTGCATGTACCCTCAGTAGGCTAAACCATGAAGATGTCCTGATGGCCGTCTTCCCAACATGGGGATGTGATGTCCCTTCTTCTGAGGGGCTCCATGTGGCCAGTCATGGTGCCCACCCTCAGGGCTGATCCCATTCCCAGTAGGAATGAGGACTCCTGGCATGATTGTGTTTTGTGTTACAGGCAGAGTCTGAAGAGCCATAGGAATGCGTCCTCCTGTGAGCACAGCAGCACCTGCAAAGGAGGCTCTGGAGTCAGGGGATGTGCTCCTCTGTGCAGGCCTTGACCAGAGAGGGCCGGGTGCTGCCCAAAACCCCAGTGAGAGAGTGTCCAACCTGGGGTCAGGCTCCAGGCTCCTGACCCCTGTCTGCCCACCCTTCCATCCTACTCCATCACAGACAGCTCTCCTCACTGTCTGCTTCAAACACCTGATCCTCTGATAGTGTTCTCAGGGGACAAGAGATTCAGAAGGGAAGGAAGAACTCAAGCTTGACTTCCACCTGTGTATCTCTTGGAGTGTTCTGTCCAATGTCTGATCAACATCAATAAAGCACAGAAGATGCCATGAGGGTGTGTGAGAACTCTGAGGGACAGGGACATAGAAGTACAGCTCTCTCTCTCTCTCTCTCTCTCTCTCTCTCTCTCTCTCTCTCTCTCTCTCTCTCTTTCTCTCTCCTCTTTTTCTTTTTCTCTTTATTCTCTTTCTCTCTCTCTCTCTCTCTCTCTCTCTCTGAGACAGGATCTCAATCTGTGTCATGGCCTGGAATTAACCGAAATCTGCCCACCTCAGTCTCCTAAGATCTGGAATCACACACACACACACACACACACACACACACACACACACACGAACAGCACCCTTCCCACACAGATCTAATGGTTCCATAGTTCAGTGTAGTGAACCAGCAGCTTGTGAGTACATAAATACACAAGTACATTTACCACAAAGACCCACAAGTGCTCTTAGCACTTGGATCCCTGTTCACCAAGAGGGCAGGGCCACCTGCTCCTGTCCCCCTGAAAGATCACTCTCTTACTCATATTCTCTCTCTCTCTCTCTCTCTCTCTCTCTCTCTCTCTCTGTGTGTGTGTGTGTGTGTGTGTGTGTATGCATTATCTTCCTGGCCCTCATTCACTCTGTTCTCACTCAAGTGTCCCTGAGAACCAGGAGTCCCAGTGTCCCGGAGTGTGAAAACACACTTGTCCCTAGACTTCAGCACACATCACACTCTGCCTTGTGCTGTGTCTGAGCCCCTGGTGGACCAGATGATGCTGGTCAACAATTCCAGTCTTGCTCCTTCTGAAATACCCCCAGATACACAGAGAAGGTTTGAATAAACAATGCCCTGGGGTCCCTCATGTGTCCTGCTAAGCTGAGGGCACCCATCATGTCAGCCATCATATGCTCCATGCTAAAGCAAGCCCTCGGGAGATATGTAGGCCCCATCCCATTTCTCTGTGATGGCATGACCCCTTGTGTGGAGATTTGCTGAGCAGGAGTAGGGCTCAGCAGGGAAGGACTGGTCTGGAGTGTTCCAGTGAGAGGCTGAGGCTGTTGCTCAGTGGCAGAGTGCTTACCTTACCCAGCATGCATGAGGCCTGACATAAAAGAATCATCCTGAGTTGCCTGTGGTTTTGATGTCAGAGCCAAGAGAACTTCTAGCCGAGGTCATCATGGCTAAACTGCCCTCTGTTTCCTTAGAATTCTCTGCTTCCATTTCTGATGGAAGGTGAGGGTGGGATTTATTCCTGTCAGTGGAGATCCGGCTTTCCCAATTCCCCCTGCAGAAGAGCCCGTCTTCCCCCATTATGTGTCTTGCTAACCTGGTCAGAAGTCAGCCAACCATTCTGGCATTTGATCTTCTCAAGCATCATTTACCCTGTGTGAATCCAGACACAACTTTACAGTTGGGAGGTGGGCAGACACAGGCTACAGAGTGTTATTTGGTGAAGGAAGCAGTTGGAAGACATTTCTGGAAATACCCTCACAGACATGCCCAGAGCTGTTTCCAAGGAGGGTCTAAGGCTGGTGAAGTTGGCCATGAAGATAAACCATCATGGGCAATGAGAAGGAAATCCAAGGGATGTGTAGAGGGTGAGAGCAGTGGTGGTCACAGCTTTACTGACCTAAATCCAATTTTAAATTTGAGATCACTGAATGTAGATGAACTGGCTTCCTGGGGAACTGAACCCTTGCGGTACCATGGTGGACAAGGCAATACCTCCCCTGGATGGACATGCACTACTTACTCAGTGGGTGGGCCCTGGAGAGGAGGAAGTGTTGGGGAATATTATTTTAAGGTGTGTCATTTTGTTTATGCTGTATTCTTTTAACTCTGTGAAGCTGTGTTACTTTGCCTGCCTAAAACACCTGATGGTCTAATAAAAATCTCAGTGGCCAATAGGAGGAAAGAGAAAGGATAGGCAGGGCTGGCAGGCAGAGAGAATAAATAGGAGGAGAAATCTGGGAGGGGAGAAGAAGGAGCAAGAGAACAAGCAGAGGATGCTAGGGGCCTGCCACCCAGCTACCCTGCCAGCCACAGAGTGCGATTGGAAGTAAGATATGCAGGAAACAAGAAAAAGAAAAAGACCAGAGGCAAAAGTTAGGTGGGTAACTTAAATTAAGAAAAGCTGGCTATAAAAAAGTCAAGCTGAGGCTGGGTATTAGTAAGCAGTAATAGGCCTCTGTGTGATTTATTTGGGAGCTAATAACTCTTTGTATGATTTTTGGGAGCTGGCTGGTGGCCCCCAAAAGAGCCAAAAGAGTAAAACATCTCACAAGAAAGCACCTGACCTTGGGCAGAAGATCAAAGTTGAAGACTGGATATGGAAACCCAAAGTGTCTGTCATCAAGCCCTGCCACTTCCCTGGCCAGGGTGGATGGCAAGTCAGAACCAACATGGCGCCCAAGGAAGAGCAGGGATGAACACCGTGCTTGGGGTCAAAGGTCTCTTGGACAGGACCAGTCATGAGCAAGCATGATATGCACAACAGGGCAGTCAGACACAGTGATATGAAACTGTCAACCATGGACATCTTTCTCCATCTGAGAGATGATCCTGCCTCACCATTATCATGGAAACCTGATCCTGTCACCTTGTGGCTCCTCCCTTAGGCTGCTCATCACTTATCCTGTAGCCTGCTGTTAAGCAACATGGTCTTCATCATTGAGAAGGCTCTCAAAGGTCCATACAAGGGGGTCATTCGGTCATGGAGACATGGGATGTGGCTGTTTCATGTCACATGCAGACTTGCTTTAGTGTGGGGGTACATGATGCTCACATAATGAGTCCTCTCAGCTTGGCAGGACACATGAGGGACCCCTGGGCATTGTTTATTCAAACCTTCTCTGTGTATCTGGGGGTATTTCAGAAGAGGCAAGACTGGAATTGTAGACCAGCATCATCTGGTCCACCAGGGGCTCAGACAGAGCACAAGGCAGAGTGTGATGTGTGCTGAGGTCTAGGGACAAGTGTCTTCTCACACTCTGGGACACTGGGGCTCCTGGTTCTCAGGGACACTTGAGTGAGAACAGAGTGAATAAGGGCCTGGAAGATAATACATACACACACACACACACACACACACACACACACACACACACACCTGTACTTCTATCACCCTGTCCCTCAGAATTCTCACACACCCTCATGACATCTGCTGTGGTTTATTGATGTTGATCATACATTGGACAGAACCCTCCAACAGAAACATAGACAGAAGTCAAGCTTGAGTTCTTCCTTCCTTTCTGAATCTCTTGTGTCACAGAGAACACCGTCAGAGTATAAGGAGGATCAAGCAGGCTGTGAGGAAGGCTGTCTGTGATGGGACACGATTAGGGTGGACGGTTAGGGGTCAGAAACTTGGAGTCTGACCCCAGGTTGGATGCTCCATCACTGGGGCCTTGGGCAGCACCCGGCCCTCTCTGGTCAAGGCCTGCACAGAGGAGCACATCCCCTGACTCCAGAGCCTTCTGGGCAGGTGCTGCTGTGCTCACAGGAGGATGCAAGTCCAGTTCTCGTCCACCTGGGGATGGAGGGAAGGTGGGACATATCAGACCTACACTGCAGTCATCCCAGCACTAAGGCAGAAGGATGGCAAGCTCCAGGCTAGCCTGGGCTACACAGCAGAAGCCCACATCAAAACAAACAAACAAAACTAACCTCCAGATATGGAAATTCAACTTCCATCTGCAACAGAAAACACACAATCATGTCAGGAGCCCACATTCCTACTTGGAAGAGGATGCAAATGAGCTCTGAGGGTGGGCACCATGACGACACCAGAGACCCTGGGAAGAAGGACAGCACATCCCCATTTGAGAAGATGGCTGTCAGGGGTGTTTGAGGTGGGGCTTAGCAGGTTGAAGGTGTATGTAGCCCCATCTGAGGGTCCCTAATTCAGTAACAAATCTGCCAAATGGGACACAGGGCCTAGCGAACTGTCTGCTGTGTGACAACCCTAAAAGCCACAGCAGTCACAGCTTCCTCCCTCCTGGGTCCCTTCTCCATCCATTCCAGACTTTCTGAGATTTGAATCACTCATCCCTGCACCCAAACTAAGCACCACCCTGAGTCCACACTTGAAGTCATATGTTCTCTAACATCAGAAAGTTCCATGTCCCAGGAGAGGAAATGGCCAAGTACAGGTCCCTCTGTATCTCTTTGGCTGTGACAGTCTCCCTGAGTCCTGTTGGTCCATGACAATGAGACAGAAAAGATGGGCTGCTTCTTGGACCTGAGTACTGGTTTCAGAGTCCATGGGAATCCCAGCCCCAGCTCTCCTTAACCGAGCATCCCTAAGCCAGTGGTGTCAAGTCTCTCATCCTAATGGCCTCTGTATTGTATTGTGTTTCTGTGTACATGTGTATTTGCATGTGTATATGTTTGTGTATGTATATATGTGCGTTTTTATGTGTGCAGTCAACAGATAACAACATACTCCTCAAATGCTGTCCACCTTGGCGTTTTGAGTCATACTAGACTGGAGCTCACCAACTAGTCTATGCTCCCTCACCAGGGAGCCCAGGGGTCCTGCCACTGCTGATTCCCAAAATGGAATGTCAAGTGCACGTCTCCTTGTGTGGCTTATTTACCTGGTTCTAGAGATGATATCAGGCTCCTTATCCTTATGTGGCAAGAGTTTTATTGACTGAGCCAAATCCCCAGGCTGAGCCTCTTGTCTCATCAGAGAGAGACAGGCGTTATTAAGTTCACCTTGTAGAGCCCTAGTGAAGGTCCAGTGATTCACTGTATGATAACAACACAGGATGAGCATGTGTGAACATCCAGTGAGTTACTGTATAATAAAGAACACAGGACAACATGTATGTGGATACCATGAGTCACTGTATGATAAAGGACACACTATGAGCATGTGTGAGGATCCAGTGAGCTACTGTATAATAAAAAACACAGGATGAACATGTGTGAGGATCCAGTGAGCTCCTGTATGACAAAGAACACAGGATGGAGCCTGAGCACAAAGCAGACACTCAGAGCAGAAGCTGTAATTCCTTAGGACACTGAGTGACAGGGACTCTGCAGGGGTAATGTGATAATCTGAGCTCACAATGACTGTAAGGCAAGCAGTGTGGTGGGACAACCTACAATCCTGGTCACCTTTGGAAAGACCAAATTTTTGTTTGAATATTCTTGAAATAGATGGAGTGACCAAAGATGCGGACAAGGAATAGGATAATGACAAGTTCTCACCGGCACATCCCATGGTGGCACTCGGGAACCATCCCAGCTTTTAAAGCATGGGTATTGAAGCCAGGCCAGAGCCTCCTCTGCCAGGCGCTGCCAGCCCACTGAGTTTGAACCAGCCACATTCCCTGTCGGGTCAGCCGGGTCCAGGATCACGGGCCTACAGAACAACATTCAGAGAGGGAAGTGACCAGCTGACCAGTGCCCCAGGTCCCACTGCACAGGGACAGTGGAGAAGCCCAGCAGAGCACCCCTATGCCAAGTTTGCCCTGAGTCCTTGCCCCACAGCATAGAGCAAGCCTGGAGGGATGCATGCCCATGACCTGGAAGTCATGAGGTCCAATCCTCTAGCCTTTAGTAGCTGTGTGCCCTGGGTCAGGTCCCTCAGCCTCTCTGATCTGTGAGATGGGAAGTCTCGAATGATGGGGTATGAAGGCTGAAGACAACACAGTATGAAGACATGCCCTTACCTTGGATGACAATTTTACTGTATTGTGTACAGTTAATTAGTCTAGCACTGGTCTATGCCTCACAGCCCTTATGATACTGTTACACCTGGATCATCTCAGTTCCTGCTCTGCTGTTTGGGTCTGAACAAGGTCTCCTCATCTGGAGACAGGAGAGGCCATCCCTGCCTCCCAGGGCTACAGATGCTCATGTCAATCAGGTGACAGCAGGACAGTGCCCAGCACAGTGACAGGACAGGAGAAGCTCCATTGACACTGAGCTCCCACCTCCCCATTTCCACTCTGCTGCTGCCTGGGGAGCTGTGGGGAGCTGAGCCACATGGGGACAAACTACCTGTCTTTTCTGAGCTGTCTGAGCAGGTATTTGGAGACGTCTTCGTGTTGAAAGTCATAATACTCTGTCCAGTAGATTCGAAGCTGCCTGTACTCGACAACAAGTTCCAAGACTGTCCGGAAGCCCTGGGCTGTGTTGAACTCAGTGACTCCACTCCCACGTTCCCAGGCATAGACTGTGAGCAGCTCCAGGGCATATTGTTGAGGTAGCGGCTTCCCCAACTTCTCCTTACACTGAGAAGAGAAAGGCAATGAGAAAAACAGGGCTGCCAGCTGTTGTGTGGGGGTCACTTACCAAGGGGTCAATACAGTTGCCACTTGATGTTATTGTAGGCTCACTGGCACACAGCCACGCCCATTCATGTAGATTCCTTCTATGGATATTCCTGTGCTATATGCAAAGACTGAGTAGTTGAGATGGAGACTGTGTGGTCCACAAAGACTGATGCAGTAGTCACAGGAGGAAATATGACATTTGAGTGACATCCAGGGAGTGAGGGTGGGAGCAGGAGAGCATTGATGCTCACTATTGATGGTTTCATAACAGGCTCTGAGATAACTGGGGAGGGTCTAGGGAGATGGCCCAGTGGGTAAAGTGGTCCCTCCCTAGGCAAGGTGAAAACTAGAGCTCAGATTCCCCAGCACACACATGAATGTCAGGGTTGTGGGGAAGCTGACTCATGAGCACACCCTAAGTGGAAGGAAATGGGGGTCCCCAGGTCCCCAGGTCCAGAGCTGCTGATTCAGCACACTGTGGGTTCAAGTGTGAGACACTGCCTCCATATAAAAGATGGAGAGTGATGGAGGACCTGACATTGCTCTCTGGTCTCCACATACACACATGCACACACATGCACACACATAGGCATGTGCTCCCAGGAACAGGCACACATATGTCCACACCAGATATATCTCACACACATATTAAAAACTCCAGAAATATTGCCTGATGGATACTTAAGGAAACCATAGCTTGACATATCAGGAAAATAGAAGCTATAGTAACTAGCAATGCATGTTTAAAACAAACAAACAAACAAACTAGAAATCCAAGGATAAAGTTTGGTGTGATGTACACCTTTCATCCCAGCATTAGGAGACACATGTAGGCAGATCTGTGAGTTCAAGGCAAACCTGGTCTACCATAGTAAATTACAGGATACCAACAGCTACCTAGTGAGACCCTGTCTCAAAATAATGCAAGAGAGAGAGACAGAGAGAGAGAGAGAGAGACAGAGACAGAGACAGAGACAGAGACAGAGAGGCAGAGAGAGAGAGAGACAGAGAGGCAGAGAGAGAGAGAGAGAGAGAGAGAGAGAGAGAGAGAGAGAAGAGAGACACAAAGATCTGAATGACACTTGAACACTGAATTAGATGCAGCTGAAGAGTGAGTTGTTAGTTGACTGGAAACTGGAAAAGAAGAAATCATTCATAGAAAGCATAGAAATTCCTCCTTCCTCCCAGGACCTCTCTCTCCCTCCTACAACATCGCCCTCCCTTGACTTCCCCCTTCACCTCTCAACCCTCTCTCTTTCTCTTCCTACCACTCCTTCCCTCCCACCTTGGTCCTCATTTTTCCTTCTCCTCATCACCCCTGCCATTCTCCACCCCCTGAATAGTCAGAGCTCATGATGGCTCAGCCTGAGGCCATACCAGTTGGTACCAGTGCTTGACCAGGCGGATGAGACTCTTCAGCTTGGTTGGTCGACTCTTCAAGAAGTTTCTCTGGAGCTCCGTGAAGCAGGTGGAGAACTCGCCTTCCTTTCCCAGGGAGGTGCACTCTCTGATGAGGTCAGCGTAGATTTGGGGGTGAGGCTTGATGTAGTTGAGTTGACCTGTAAAGAGGCTTTGTTCAGCTAACACCCAGCTCTTCCCTGGGGTTCTTCGGTCTATCTGGGGTGACAGACTCACAGACTGTGGAGTTCAGTAAACAGGGCAGAGTTTTACCACAGCAACCATCACACCACATACATCCATGTGCCCCACCACACCTCAATACAGCATACACCATGTGGACATGGAAAGTCCCTGTCCCCCACTGTCCTAGAACAGTGTCTTCCTCACAGGCCTGGAGACAGTGTTGGGAGGAAACAGCTCACTGTGGTCACACACACTAGAGGAGTGCATGGTCATCTAATAATGACCAACCATGCTCTGGTGTCCGGTGTCTTGTGCACAGGGCTTGTCATGTGTGTACACGGCTGCTTGTGTCAGATTTACTGTGGAGCAGTCTGCTGCATTTGTACATCATGTATCCCATGCTTACAGAGTCTCTGTCCTATGTTTGTATGGTGTACATATTGTTTGTGTGTGTTTAAGAAGTATACATGTATGCTAAGAGGCCAGAGGATGACATAAAGTGTCCCCCTTTATAGTTTGTCACTTTATCCCTTGGCAGGGTCTCTCTGTGAATGTGGATCTTGGCTGGCATCTAGCAGGCCACAAAGATTCTCCTGTCTCTGGCCATCTAGAGTCTGGGTGACAGGTCGATGTGTGGTCCTCTCTCTTAGGTGGGTGTTGGGGATTTGAACTCAGGTCCTCATTCTTGTGCTGCAATTGCCCTTATCCTTAAGCTGTCTCCTCAGTCACTGTGTTTTTTCACTAGTTTACTTTCTCTAAGACTTAACTTAATATTATGTGTTTTTTTTTTATGTCCAGGTCCTGAAGCTGCAGGGTGTGTGTGTGTGTGTGTGTGTGTGTGTGTGTGTGTGTGTGTGTGTGTGAATAAAAATATGGAATAAATGTGAGTGTGTGGGTATGTGTGGGTGCGTGTGCACATTTGAGTAGACTAGGCAGGCAGCAGGCTGTGCCTTAGATGTGTACATATATGTGGCCATGGCTGTAGCAGGCTATACCAACAGGATTTGATGTTGGCACAAGACCAAATCACCTACTGATGGAGTTGGGGACACATCCAGTCATGTCATGTAGTGACCCAGAGAGCTCTCTCTCTCTCTCTCTCTCTCTCTCTCTCTCTCTCTCTCTCTCTCTCTCTCTCTCTCTCATTCCTGTGCTTATTTTCAATTTCAGGGCCCTTAACACAGTAGGGCTCGTCAGTTAAGCCATCTTAGGTAGGGTTGTGGCAGGGGTCCTCTCTTGGGCTCTCCTCCACACTGCCATTTCCAAGGTGGTCCTTCTGTGGTAACACGACTTCCCCACTGCAAAGCTGCCTGAGGCTTGGGAGTCCATGACAACACAGGTTTCTGGGGAGCTGCCCTCCCAGCTCATTTCTGGGTCACCCCCTTTGGGTCCCCTCCACTCTACTGTGCTTTCAGGAGTGTTCCTGGTTGTCTTCTGGTAGAGTTTGGAAATTTGTAATTTTGGAATACATACACACACACACACACACACACACACACACACACACACAGAGAGAGAGAGAGACAGAGAGAGAGAGACAGAGACAGAGACAGAGACAGACAGAGAGGCCTCAGCACAGGCCTGAGGTTTCCTTCTCTTTGATAGAAGATGCAACGGTTGTTAATTTTTAGCTACATCTCTGTCCCACTTTTAGACACACAGAATTTCCACATTCGGTCACAATGAGAGCTTGTCTCCCTGCCGGGTGTTCTGTAGGAGGCCCCTGGGGCTGGGGAGATGGACCCATTAAAGGGATAGATGGGCAAGTATAAGGGCTCAAAAGCAGATCCCCAAACCCACATAAAAAGTTACAGGGGGCTCCACACCTGAAATCCCAGTGCTGGGGAGGTGGAGACAGGGGGATCCCTCAGGCTCACTATTTGACAAGATAGATCAGCCAGCTCCAGGGCAAAGGTCAACCCATCTCAACACAAACAGACAAACCAGGCTGTTTTGTAGGGAGTGGTAGTTGCCTAAGTGAAGTCCTGAATATATTTTACAGCCACAAGTCCTCTCTTACTAACACCTGGTACATGACTAGGCAATTGTCCCGACCCCCGTGCTGTACCTGATACACATGCTGAGGCTCCAGGTTGCCCGAGGTTGTGCAATTCCATCACAGCACACATTCCACCCGACTCCAGCTGCATACTGCAGCAGCCATGAAGATGGGCCAGCAAATTCCAGGTCAACCTCTCACCAAAAGCAGACTCCTAAGTAACCTACATCCAAGACTGGCCTCTGGTCATCACCCACACCTACAAACATGTGCATAGATCTGCACACATGTGAACAACCCGCCCACAAACACACAGAGAAAGAAATGGCAGAGAGGTTGAAGACACATGGAAGGGTGAGCTGAGGCTCTGACTGGCTTACCCAGGACATCATAGGCCGGCAGCACATCAAACTCCACCTCCTGTTGATGCTGGAAGGAGCTCAGTTTGAAGCTGAGTGCCCGGGGGTTGGGCCACCATGAACTCTGGACCTCAATCTTCACCCATATATGTAGCTCTCTCTGAAAGTTGCAAAGCTGTTTTCTAATTTCCTCGATGAACTCTCCCCTTCTCTCTAACTGATCCTCAAAACTGTGGAGATTGTTAAGGAACACCACCAGGTCCGCATCTGACCTGCCCTTGAGGGCTGTGCCTTTGCCTGAGGAGCCACCCTGAAAGACAACAATGGGAATGTCAGGCAACAAGCAGGCCACACCGAGCAGTCCAGGCCTTCAACAGCTTAGGAATCCGCCACCCAGGGAGATTTTTGGATAGAGAAATCTAGCACATGGGTAGTGGAATATTAGTCAGCCCTGAAAAGTGAAATTAGAATCTATGTAGGAAAATAGACTGTTCTGGATCTTCTCCTGGTACAGGAGGTCAGCCAGACTCAAAATGATGAACATCTGTGTCTAGATCTAAATATGGCTGAGAGACTGTCTGTCTGTCTGTCTGTCTGTCTGTCTGTCTGTCTATGATAGAAGGGTGACTATGTCGGGGAGACAGAGGAGGCACCTAAAGGACGTGAGGAGCAAGGAAGGGTAATGGGGAAAGACTAAAGAGCACATGTTCTCTGATGTGAGATCTAGGTGCACACAGGTGGCATGCCATCAGAGAGACTCTCCAGGGCCAGTCAGTGTCAGGGGTAAAGGATGGGATGGTCGTGGGCAAGAGTAACTGTGAGTAAATTAACACAGACATATGAAAATGTTGTCATGATCCCATTGTTAGCAGACTGTCAAGGGAATACACCACTAGTATATCACATGCTTGCATGAAGACAGCCTGTGACAGTACTGAAAAGTCACAGAACAAAAGCTTAAGTCAAGAGAGTTGAATTTGCAAAGAGAACATTTTTGAGAAAATAATAATGCTGAGAAGAGCCTCCCTAAATAAAATGCTGAGCACATTCACTAACATACTTGCACAGCCCACAGTGTTGAGTTGACATTACAAAATGACTGAGCCATCACAGTGACTGAGTTAGGTACCATTGTCAGGAAGTTCCATTTGACAGATGGGGACATGGGCAATGAGGTTGTATCAGTTCAGCCATGTGGCAGGCAGGGTCTCTGTTCTGTTCTCTACACTGTGCCCCAACTGGGATGCACATGAGAACACTGGGCCACAGAGAAGGTAGGTAACTCACTCCCCACTCAGGGCTGCAGCCTGGATCCTCAGAGTCCTCTCCCTCCCCACTGGGGTCAGCTCAGGCTGAGGGGCGCTCACCTTCACCACCTTGGAGACCCTCACAGGGTGGGTGGCGCCTCGGAAGCATCTCTCCTTCAGGAAATCACATATGATCTTGATAGCTGCCTTGACCTCAGTTCGGAAGCTGGTGTTGGGAAGGAGGTGAACCTCTATGAACTTGTCCAGGTCCCTGGCCCGGGTCCTGCTGAGTCCCTGCTCCATCCTCAGGGAAGCTGTGTCTTCTGACTACAGCACAGCCTCTGGAGCCAGCTGCACCTTATTCTCACAGCTAGTTTCTCTTTCCTAGAAAGGGTGGGGCTATGCAAATTAAGTCTCTGACTTCTGAGCTCCCTGATACCCCTTCCTTATTCAGCAGGGCTGTTCTTTTAGATTCTCAAACCCTCATCCTGCAGCAAGCATTTTAAACATATTGGTTTGTTTTTTCCTTCTTGATTTTCTATTGTTACTAAAAGAAAAATGGTTTTATACTCTCTTTAGATGTCTAACAGCAATCCACACATGTCTCTAAACAAGAGCAAGTGAGAAACATCCTAAAGATGACTGACATCCAGTTTCACCACTGCTGGGGTGTGTGTGTGGCAGGTACAACAGGTCCATACCTGGACATTGTAATGAGCTGTCTGCCCAGGCCATGGTGACCGGAATTTCAGCCTTCTGGTCTCACTAGTCCCTGTGTTCTGAGATGCACACCCATTTGGCCATCATCCAAGGCACCATCCAAGGCAGTTTCACTGTCCTCCAACCCCAACCCCGTCTTTCCATCACAAAGGATGAAGGGTTCATATCTTTCTCTAAAGTGGGATCTCACTATGTTGCCAGGATAGACTTGAACTTGGGAATCTGCAGCTCTGTCCTCCTGACTACTGAGGTTACAGGAATCTGTCACATTGTCCAGCTATAACCACCTGCATTATCAGTCAGTTGTCAATCTCCAATAATGTAGTGTGTTGACTTATGCCCAGGACAGATCACCATGAGGGAGGAGCCTGTCTTCATGCCAACCTCTCCCTGCCCAGCACTGGTGGATGTTCATCAGGGCAGGTGGTCATCAAATATTATCCAAGTCCTAGGAGGCTGACAGAGAAGATGAAGAGTTTGAGGCCAGGCTGGGCTACATGATGAGACTCTGTCTCTAAAAACAAGTGTGCATGCACTTGCATACACACACACACACACACACACACACACACACACACACACACACACAAGAAAGGATTACCCATTGTAGCCCCGTTGGAATCACTGCAGAGAGCAAGAAATTTAAGACTAAGGAAATAACTGGAACATTGGCTTTGCCCATTAATATGATCACAAACCATAGGTGGCTTTACAGGATTTTATTTTATTTGGTTTTTCGAGACAGGGTTTCTCTGTATTGCTTTGGAGACTTTCCTGGAACTCCCTCTGTAGACCAGGCTGGCCTAGAATCAGAGAACTCCTCCTGCCTCCCCAAGTTCTGGGATTAAAGGCATGTGCCACCAAAGCCTGGCAAAGGATATTATTTTTGAAGGATCTAGAAGCTGTGACTGTGTCATTCACATCAGAAGCCTGCTCTTAGCAAAAAGCACAGTCTTCATGGCCTGGTTGGTAACAGAGGCCCCTTGGTGACACTGACTGTGGTAGTTGAATGTATAGGCCCCCATAAGTTCATAGGGAGTGGCACTATTAGGAGGTGTAGCCTTGTTGGAGGAAGTGTGTCACTGTGGAGGGGGCCTCTGAGGTCTCATATGCTCATCATACTGCACAGAGTTCCAGCCCACTTCCTGTAACTCTCTGGTGAGAATGTAGCCAGCACCATGTCCACCCTCATGCTGCCATGCTCTCCAATATGACAATGGACTGAACGTCTGAAATGTAAGCAAGCCACCCCAATTAAATGTTTGCCATTGTAAGACTTGCCATGGTCATGGCATCTCTTCACAGCAATAGAAACCCACACTAAGACAGTCCTAAGGGAACTAGCTGCTAAAGGCCCCTCACATAAGTGTCTGCATAGGATTGCAAGAGACAAGCTGAGGGTCCTGAGTAGATCTGGGTGAGGGCCAAGCTAATTATACTTTAAAATATCCAATTACATTTATTTCATGTGTCTGAACATATGGGGTCCAAGGACAACTTGTAGGTGTTGTGGCTCTCTCTCCTTCCACCATGTGAGTCCCAGGGATCAAATTCAGGTCACCAGGCTTAGCAACCAACACCTTAGGCACTGAGCCATCTCACTAACCCTTTTTATTGTTGAACAGGGTCTCATAGTCACATTGGCCAGGCTAGCCTTCAATTTACAACAATCTACCTGCCCCAGCGCCTGTGGGCTGGGATTATAGTGTGCCACTATGCCTTGCTCATCCATACCATACCCTTCTGTGTGTCTTAAAGAGGTCTTATGTGTCACTCATCCAGATGAGGCCAATGCTGGTGGTCACACTGCCTGAGCCAGCGAGTGCCCAGATCACAAGGTTTAACCCTCTTGGCCACACGTCCAGCTGCTACTGGGGACACATTGCTAGTCCTTATGAGCCCCTTGGAAGGAACTGACCGGCTCTGCAGGAAGTGACTTGTGCCTCTCAAAGGGCGAAATACTGAAATTAGGAATCCTCATGACTATTTGTAAAATATTTTTGAAATTTTCATAATATACATTCAATATGTTTTTATCAAATTAACTCTCCCCTTCCCCCCCACAACTCACTGTCTCCCCAACTCCCTTCCCAACTTCATGTCACTTTGTTGAGTAATCCAGTGTGTCCAGATAATGCTTCTCATATTCACACAGGTGTGAGGCCCTCCACTGAAATGTGGACAACCTGCCATTGACCACACCCCTGAGGAAAACAGACTCTGTGTGGCTGGGTTTATGACAACTTGACACAAGCTAGAGTCATCTGAGAGGCAGGAATCAATTGAGGAAATGCCTCTATAATAGTGGACTGTAGGCTAGCCAGTAAGCAGCACCCTCCATGGCCTCTGCATCAGCTCCTGCCTCCAGGTCGCTGCCCTGTTTGAGTTCCTGTCCTGACTGCTTTTGATGATGAACAGTGCAGGGATGTGTGAATGAAACAAACTCTTTCCTTCCCAAGTTGCTTTTGGTCAGTATGATTCATCCCAGAGACAGAATCCCCACGACCCTCTCTGAGCACTATCAGCCACCATCTGTCAACAGCTCCTCAGCTAGGGGAGAGGGTTTGTGAGTGCCCCTCCCATCCAGGCTAGAACATGGACTGGCTTGACCTTGCATAGGCGACCACAGCTGCTGTGGGTGTCCAGAAGGTGCTGATTTTCCCCAGTCTCCTCCCACCTTATAATCTTTCCATCCCCTCTTCTTCTTTGTCCCTGAGCCCTGGGAGGAGGGGCTGCAATAAAGCCTATTTGTTGCTAAGCACTGCACAGACATTGTTCTCTACTTCAGTGGTGACTCTGCAGTCACCACCATCACTGCCCAGAGAGACCTCTCTGCTGCGGTCACAGAGCTGCACCAGTTCACCAGCATGGAGATACAGAGGGCAGCCTGATACTATGTCCATTTGTCACAATACTTCAGTATTGTTCATCCCTGGAGCCCATGAGCTCCCAGACATGGGTTCTTGACCAGATTACAGCACCAGATTAAAGTTTCCTCTTGTGGAGTGAGCCTGAAATCCAGTCAGAATGTGGCCAGTGACCCCCATAACATCCATGCCACTAGTGCACCCAGGGGTGTGTCTTCCCAGGTCACTCCTTATTGGTAGGGTTCACAGATGGGTAAGACTGTTGATAACTTTACATGGTAGAAAAGAATGAACACCAGGAATGCTGTGGCTGGAAGATGACAAAGATATGACCCAGTGACAATGCATTGTCACCCAGGGTAGATTCCTTTCTAGTTGGAGCAGAGATGGACTCACTGACCTGGAAATGCCTGCTCTGTGTTCAGAACTGAACCCTGGATTAGCAGGAAGAATGCATCTCTTCCTCCCTATTCTCTTCCAGTCGCTGTCTGCTTGGCATGATTTTGGGTGACAGTTTCTGCTTATTTTAGGGTCAACATTAGCTGGAAATGAAGACATTTCTCCATAGCTTCTGTAGGTTTCTTGAGTTCTGCTTTGAAAGTGACACTGTTTACTGTAACCACAGGGACACATTCACCTTTTTCTGCATCAGATTGCAACAGTCAAAGGTGACAAGGGCTTTTACAAGCAGGAAGTGAAACTGTCCCACAAAGCCATCACCTGTGCCTCTTCTCTTTCCTTTTCCTTCCAAGGACAGGAAGAAGAGAGAGAGTTTTGTTTGTTTGTTTGTTTTGCAGTAGTTAGATTCTTAGACAGGGCCATGCATCGTGTTGCATGCCTTTAACCCTAGCACTTGGGAGACAGAGGCAGGCAGATCTCTGAGTTCAAGGCCAGCATGGTCTACAGACAAATTTCCAGGACAACCAGGGCCACACAGAGAAACCCTGTCTTGAAAAAAACAAGTGACTTTTTTTTTAACCTCAAGCTGCAATTCTGAGATTATTCCTGACCCTCATCTTTGATAAGCCTGCCTTAGTGTCAGAAACTAGAGGATTTGCGTTCCATTTTACAGTAACATGTATTTGGGTGTGTGAGCAACATGCTGCTTTTGCACAATTTCATGGGTTAATTTAAACAGCATGAGCATGTGTCCAAACAACCTAGCTGTAATATGTCCTTCACCTTCCTGTCCTTTCTGTAAGACCTCCTTCACTGTCCCATCCTTGCTGTGGTAAGACCTCCTTCACCACTGTTCCATTCTAGCTAGCTTGGAGAATCTGCACTGAATTAAAATAGTTGTTTTCAGGACTGAGAGCCGGAGTCAGGCTGAGGCCTGGAGTCCTGTAGGGACCTCTTCAGGTTGGAGGCAGGCAGAACTGGCCATAGGCACTTGTTTCCTTTTTCCTGGGACAGAACATTAAAAATAACAATAAGGAGCAGCAGCCAGGTGTCCCAGTACATGTTTGGAATCCCAGAATTTGAAAGGTAGAGGCCCAGGGATCAGGAGTTCAAGGCCAGCCTGAGCTACATATAACCACTGTCTCAAAAGAAAGATGGAGGATAGCCCACTCAGCTGGCTTTCTTTAAGAATCTCAATGTGAGCCTGATAGCTGCAAGGTTCCAGAACACAGGGGAAGCAAGAGATGGTCTTCCAATGTGCTAAACATCAGGCTAGGAGGATGGTGGTCCAAGCCCTTCCTGTCAGCACATCTGTGGGTCATGGTTTCCTCATCTGTCTGATAAATGAGTGGACTGGTCAAAACTTCCAGTCTAGAATCT